TCCCACCCGGGGCTCCGCAGCGAGGGCCCGCCCGGAGCCACATGCGGTGGTAGGGCTGTGCTTGCTGCCGGGTGACACTTTTATTTTGGGATGCCTTGGCTGTATGTCCCATGGGAGGTCTGATGGCCTCCGTGTATACCAGGATTAGAACATACACCCTGTAGTGGAGTCAGGCTGTCTTCAGTCAACTGGAGTTTGAGTGGCCTAGAAATAGAAATAACATCCTCTCTGTCTGGAGGCCGCGCTGGCTGGTTCCCATCGCTGAGGATGAGGAGGAAAGGATTAAACTGTGGTGTAGAAGGGGAGCTTCAAACTCGTAGATTTGAGGGCTCTTTGCTTCTTCACCCCACCCGATTCCCTTGTCCCTGGTGCCATTTGAAATCTACAGGCGGCAATTTTTACTCTGTCCTGCCTTGCTATGGATAGTGGGCAAAATATCAGCTGGAGGTGTATGTTTGGGCAGAGTCCTGCTCTGCAAATGTTATCATAATTAAAGAGCTTCTTCAAATTTCAGTAACTGGTTTATTTCTAAGGTGGTCTGGTGCACCTTGCCCGGGGGAGCAGATGGTGTTGCCTAAGGCCGGTGGGAATCCCAACCTTTCTTGCACGTTTTCTTCTCAAGAGCGAGCGAGCTGGTTCCCAGCAGCAGCGGAGCGTTGCAGTCTCTGCAGGCAGTGAGGTGGGAAGGTCCGATGTCTAGGAAACTCCGCTGGTTCTGCAGCATCAAATGCTGGCAGTTGGTTATCTCCTGGGGAACTGGGGAGGAGACAACTATTTCTGTAGAAGGTGAGGCAATTGCTCTAGAAAATTATTCAGTGGCTGGAATTAAAAGGAGGAAACAAAACTGGAAGTGGCCTCTGAGGAATAGTATTTTCAAAATAATATTGATGGCCTGAGGTGTTTTGTGCTGCTTGTTTACTGTCAGAAATTGAAGGCTTAAGGAGCCGCCCAGGGAAGGAGCTGGCTTCCTGGTGATGTCATTCGAAGGAGTTAAATTAGATGTTGCTGAAGAGGCACCTGGATGTTAGAATACTGACAAATTGCACGGCCTGTAAAGTTGGGAAAGCCCTGTTAATGGGTAAGTCATTCCTTCCCCCAGGCTAATTAAATGTGGTGTTTGAAATGTTAAAAATGTCCCAATGTAAATACCATGCTGAAGGCACAGTCATCTTCTGATGGTGACCTCTAACGTTAACCCTTCCTTCCTCCTTCCCAAGTTTCATTGCAGAAGTGGTGGGCGCGGGAAGCCAGTCGTGAATAGGATGATCTCCTTGGGAAAGGTGCAGAAATAGAAGAATTCGTGGGCAGTGTTTGGTCCTCGCCCTGCTGTGAGGAGAAGGCTCAGCTGTGAAGAACGGAGGCAGTCTCATGCATCTGGGGTTTTTCTTGGTGTCTTAAGGCCGGTGCCGTAGTTCACGGCTATTACCATGAAGTGCTTTCGTAGGTGACTTCACAATGTTGCCTTTTTTTGTTGTTGTTGGGGTATTATTTCGTTATCTTGCTAAGAGAGAAATGTGTGGGTAGGAAATGATTATTCTACTTCCAGTTAATTCTTTTTGGTTGCTCAGAAAGCGCAGGCCTTACGCGCCCGTGCCTTTCTGCCAGCCGGGGCAGATTTTCTTGGGGTCCTGTGCGTTAACCCGTTTTCTGCTTCGGCCCTTCCTGGCTTATATAAGTTGCTTAGCTTCTGTGGCTCAACTGATCTCATGTAAATTAGGAGGATAGTCACTGTATTAGGGAGAGTATTTGGAGGCTTAATTAGGTGTCTAATGTTTGTAAAACATCTTGAACCGTGTAAGGGCTATGCAGGCACTCTGCATTAATAGGCATGCACAGACACACACTTGAATCTGATTTAGTGCAACCTTTATGATCTGTCTGTGCTAGCTTCTATAAAAAAACCAGCAAAAATAAGTGCAAACCTCCTCTGAATCAGCTAAGTCAGCATCAAGGGTTTCCATGTTCTGTACTTCTGTTTAGGAATTACAGTGCGACAAAATACAGATGCTTTAGCCAAAGGTGAGTCCTTAAGCAAATCCGTGATTCTGTTCCCTGTGGCTTAGCAGAAATTAGGAAATCAGCAAAAGCGGTCTGTATTTCAGAATGGTTGTAACTAATGCACTGCAACAGCTGAAAACATGCCAAATGGCTCACTCACCGGTTGTTTAAGGCACAGGAACAGTGTGGTCACAGGATAATTATTGTCTGCTGCTGCATAAATTGTGGGGGTCCTTATGGAAAAGGGTTGATGTAATTGCATTAATTTTATCTGCTGGGTGGTGGTGCTGTTAGTGCCAGCTCCTCTGCTGGGGAGCAGCTGATGAGCAGGGGGTGTGTTGTGGTGTGGTCAGAGACTGGTCCGTTCCCCAAAAGCAACTTTTTTTAATGAATGATAAAGGTTTCTAACCCATGGGAACAGTTTTTTTTTCCCCGGGCTCGGCTGGTCTTTAAGCTTGGGGTCACCGGTGTTTTGCCAGGGAGAATTTCCTTGTCATCTTCCTGGCAGCTCTCAATTCTGCCTGATGTGCTTGCTTAAGGCTGGATCTTTCTCCTCATTCTTCAGCACTGGAGGATGTGGGAGCCTTTTCCAAAGAAGTACCTCAAATCGTTCGGAAAATATCGTTATGAAATGATCTGCACAGACCGTTGCTTTTACTGTGCTTTTGCTGCAGACTTCAGGTGTGTTGATGCCTCAGTAGGAAATTGTAGTGAACCTCAGCAAAGCGATGAACGTGAAATTCGCCACACAAAGTAAATTGTGCAGAAGTCGAGAAGGTTTTAGACCTGGCCTGGCTTTTGGGTTGCTAATTAGTTTGACAGATGTTGCCTGGAGGTTGTCAGGTGTTGGTGAGTAGCAAGAATATTTCCACTGCTATTTTGCATGAAATGAGTTGCATCTTGGTCAAGCTCCTCGTGAATAAATGTCGTTATCGACCGTTTTCACAGGGAGTGCTGGCAGGAGCAGGGGGGATTGAGTCAGCTGTAGGGGCACCGTTGGTGGGTAAGCTTTGTTCTGGCATAGCCCAAAGAAGCTTCCACTCTTCCTGTTCTGCTTGCACGTGGGCATTTGAGTTTCCCAGGCTGCCATGGGAACAGATTTTACGTAATTACTTTATGTAATTACTTTATGATCTTACAATAATACAAGGAGCAGCAGAAGCTGCTCACGTAGTTGTTTGCTCTCCCATACATTTGCAGGGTATTTGAATACTCTGAATTAGGTCGTTGCTTTACACAGCAGGAAAAGACTGTCGGTACCTACAGTTCCAGCCTTTTTCTTTAACACGAGACACACTTTTTTAGGGTGAATCATGTAGATGCAGTTGGTTTACCATGGAATTCTTGGAGCTGTCTGGCTTCCTTCCTTTAGGCTTCTGGAAAAAGCAGTCTCTAGCTGGTTCTAGACCCTTCCATGGGTTCTCCTGACAGCTATGATGTGGCCCTGCCAGAAATGATCGTGCCATTACTATGAATTAGGTTAATACTGAGGTGTGTTACATAACTACGCAATTAAAGTTCGGGGCTCGTCTGGCTGTTTTTGCTTCCAGCTGCAGGGAGAGGTTTGCTTCATTTCTTGAATTTCTCGTGGTGTATTTTGGTTCTTGCGGCTTTTGGTCTTCCATGGTTGACTTTGTCCTCGGGTATTGGGAATGTCCTGGGGGGGATGTAGAGGATGGCATGGGGTTTTGTGCTCCTTCTGTGTTAAATGTTGGTTATGTTGCTGTTGTCTGCTCTTGTGAAAGACCCATGGCAGACTTTTGCTTTTATGTTCCAGTTGCACAGTCTTTAGACTATCCATGCAGATACTTGGGTGTGCAGACACAGTATTTTCCTAGTTTGGGGCATGCTGTGAGTAAATGTCGTCATTTTCATTTCTATATTGCAGCTGGTAGCAAACCCACTCCTTGTTCAGTGGGGGGTGCTGATGTGCAGGGAAATGCGGTGCGTGGTGTACTGGGGTGTGCTGGTCTGCTCTGCGTTCAGCCTGGTCTCTGCGGCCATGGGGCCAGCATGATGCTGCAGAGGGTGATCACAGTATACGTTATCTATGATTTTGTGGTGGTTTCTGCACCAGAGACAAAAAATACAAGCACTACTGATGGGAAATTTTATATATAGAAAGAGATAGATAGATAGATTCCCTTCGCCCTAAATCCTTGCTCAGGGTGTAAAACCTAAGCTGGAGGAAGGGTCTCTAAAGCGTACAGGGAAGTAACCCTGAATATCTCTGGCCTGTGAAGTGTTTGGCTTCTCTTCTGCGTCCTGAAAGGAGGGAGGGGAGAGTATAGTATGTCCACTGGCAAATATGACAGCTAATTTTAAGCTCTAGACATCTGCCCGCTGTAAACTGTATTGAGATCACCAAACTTATTTTATCCAAGCAGCTGAGTAACATCTGACAGCTGAGAATCTGGACTGGATTTCAACCAAAAAAAAAAAAAAAGCCAGATAAAGGCACTGTATCCTATTAAAGAAAAATTGCTTAGTAAAGGCAGGTGTCTTCCTTTTGTCAGAGCATCCCAAAAAAGATTGCTTGGCCAGGATAGGATTTTGGAGCCTTCCTTAAATCCTAGATTTTCTTTTTTTCTTTTCTTTTTTGGTCACTGTTTCGTAATGGAGGCAGGAAATGAAGTAGGAGTGAGGGTCGAGAGAGCAGGTCTGCCACCTGCTTAGATGCTGAATTTCTGTAGCTGGGTAGTATTGCTCTGAGTGCATCCTCCTGTGTGCACGGGGGCTGTGCCAGCACCCCTAGATCTGGGAGGTGCTGTTGGTACAGATCCCAGAAGTTTTTGTCGACTTGGGAAGCGAGGTGCGTTGCAAGGTGGGTCTGCATGTGTCACGTTAGGAGCTGGAGTAGGAGGAGTGGAAACCACGATCGGCGTTCGAGCGGGGGCAGCGTGTGGAAGCTCTGAGGAGGCAGAAGTTGTTAGGCAAACGTGGGATTGTGTCACTGGTGCGCGGGATGGCTGCTTCTCATAGCTCTTCTGTGCTGGGAACGAGCAGGGGCTGAGCTTTCGGCAGGGCACGGGGAATAGAGGGAGCCTTGTGATGGTTCCTTCTCCCACCAGGCAGGCAGCGAGCACCGCGTCGTGGTGTACTGGGGTGTGCTGGTCTGCTCTGCGTTCAGCCTGGTCTCTGCGGCCATGGGGCCAGCATGATGCTGCAGAGGGTGATCACAGTATACGTTATCTATGATTTTGTGGTGGTTTCTGCACCAGAGACAAAAAATACAAGCACTACTGATGGGAAATTTTATATATAGAAAGAGATAGATAGATAGATTCCCTTCGCCCTAAATCCTTGCTCAGGGTGTAAAACCTAAGCTGGAGGAAGGGTCTCTAAAGCGTACAGGGAAGTAACCCTGAATATCTCTGGCCTGTGAAGTGTTTGGCTTCTCTTCTGCGTCCTGAAAGGAGGGAGGGGAGAGTATAGTATGTCCACTGGCAAATATGACAGCTAATTTTAAGCTCTAGACATCTGCCCGCTGTAAACTGTATTGAGATCACCAAACTTATTTTATCCAAGCAGCTGAGTAACATCTGACAGCTGAGAATCTGGACTGGATTTCAACCAAAAAAAAAAAAAAAGCCAGATAAAGGCACTGTATCCTATTAAAGAAAAATTGCTTAGTAAAGGCAGGTGTCTTCCTTTTGTCAGAGCATCCCAAAAAAGATTGCTTGGCCAGGATAGGATTTTGGAGCCTTCCTTAAATCCTAGATTTTCTTTTTTTCTTTTCTTTTTTGGTCACTGTTTCGTAATGGAGGCAGGAAATGAAGTAGGAGTGAGGGTCGAGAGAGCAGGTCTGCCACCTGCTTAGATGCTGAATTTCTGTAGCTGGGTAGTATTGCTCTGAGTGCATCCTCCTGTGTGCACGGGGGCTGTGCCAGCACCCCTAGATCTGGGAGGTGCTGTTGGTACAGATCCCAGAAGTTTTTGTCGACTTGGGAAGCGAGGTGCGTTGCAAGGTGGGTCTGCATGTGTCACGTTAGGAGCTGGAGTAGGAGGAGTGGAAACCACGATCGGCGTTCGAGCGGGGGCAGCGTGTGGAAGCTCTGAGGAGGCAGAAGTTGTTAGGCAAACGTGGGATTGTGTCACTGGTGCGCGGGATGGCTGCTTCTCATAGCTCTTCTGTGCTGGGAACGAGCAGGGGCTGAGCTTTCGGCAGGGCACGGGGAATAGAGGGAGCCTTGTGATGGTTCCTTCTCCCACCAGGCAGGCAGCGAGCACCGCGCGCTGCGTCCTCTGAGCCTCCGGGTGTGCGAGGGCAGCGTCGGAACACGCGGCTGCTGCTTGCCTTGGTGGCAGGTCCTCTAGGGTGACAGGGGCCGCAGCACTTGAAGAATTGGGGGTCCTGACAAATGTTATAAAAGAGGGAAAAAAAGAACTATTGGCTTGCAGGGAGAGAGTTACTCCAAACAGCCCCTTCCTTGTGAGCCCATGGTGCATGCGAGCAATGAAAGACAAGCTTCTTCCTGAGACCCTTGGTGCAACTCTTCCCCGTCTTCTGTGTCCAGCATGGAGAGGCCCTGAGAAGACACCAACCTCCCCTCACAAAGCAATCCATTCAGCCTGGGGCGTATTTTTAGCAAAGCACGATTCTTCTTCAGTTTCAAAAGTAGCAAGTGGGGAACGCAGCCTACATCAGTGCGAGATGCAGAATGATCTCATTCAGGCTGCAGCATCTGTTTGGATTGAAACAATTACCAGTGATATCAGGAGATCTGCATTTTTTTCTTGTTATAGCCAGAGACCGTGGTAAACAAGAACTGTTTTCTCTGTGTGCTTTCTATGTCAGTGGAGCACAACTGGGGAGAGATGCTTCTGTTCTGTGTCTAGGATCTCAGACCACAAGCCGTGCGTTTCCAGCAACTGCCTTTGCCTTCGTGCTTTGGAGGCAATTTGCTTTTTCTTTCACAATTTATTTTTTTCATCGATAGAGCTTTAAGCCATGTGAGCAATAGAAATACCTGTGTGCTTCCTTTCTGCTAGTGTTATCTGAGGCGCTGTGACTTGTTGATAAATCAATCTGTGTTAAAGTAAATGCTTAAAAGGAAAATAGATCAATAAAAAAAAAAAAAAGAGTAGAAAGCCGTAATTCTTGTGTTTGTGTGTTTTCTCTAGCATCTCGGAATACGGATGCTTTGTGAAAGTTGGTTTTGCCATGTATCTGTCTTCTTTCTCTCGTTTTCCCAGCTCTTCCCGGCAGTTTGTTGGCAGACGGGGTGTTCTGGCACCCAGCCCTTTACTGTATCTATTAGGCAACGCATCCTCAGAACATGACAGGTAAAATTGCTGAAAGAGTTGTGAATCAGGGACTGGTATGCTAAGGAGGTTGCAGTGGTGGCTCGGAGAGAGGAGCTCTGCCATTGATACTGTTCACCCTTTTCTTTAGACTGCACAACAGAGCTGCTGAGAGAAGGAACCTTAATAGGATCTGTGATTTTCTTTTCCATTTATGATTACAGAAATAAGAGAATAAAGTGCGAAATTGCTGATTATTTTTTCCACTGTGTTTTGAATGTTTGATCTGTAATATGTATAAAAAGGTGGTTGTGTTGGGACACGTTTTTAACCATGCAAAGTGCGAGTCCTGCTGCTTGTGATACAGAGCCATCCCACAGGCACATAATCATTTCTAGATCTTGTGGCTCTAGGGAAGGAGGAGCACGGAGGGGCGTTGTACCTGCTGCTCAGGATCTGGCAGTGTGCTGGCTTCCGAGGAAGAGCAAGGCTGTGGAACAAGCACCTTCCTCAGGCCAGGTGGTGGGAAGGCTGGGGCGGAGGAGGTAAGGCAGTTTCCCATCTCAGGCAGGCGAGTTCATCATTTGCTGGAATGGGAGCAGTGCAGCAGGGATTAACTGAACCCCGGAGCCATGACAAGACCCTTCCGAGGCAGTGGGGGGTGCATGCGCTAAACCATTTCTTTGCCACCCTGTTACTTGTTCATCTCATTTCAAACAAACGCAGCAATGTGGTTGTGTGTTCTTCCTGTTGCTCGATTTCAGCAGAGTTACAGCAGGGGTGCATCTGGTCCACTGCTGGAGTGTAGCTGGTAGCAAAAGTTAAAAATGAAAGTGAAGAGCACGCACTTCGGCTGTGGCCCGCGGGCCCTCGGCATGGCAGCTCCCTGTGTCTATTGTTTTGCCAGCTGGCAAAACTGTGATGGTTCAGTGAAAACAACCCTTTGCATGAGGCGGTTGTGTGGGAATGGCCAATGGCAAGCCTGAATGAGGTTAAAAACATGTGAACTTGTTTCAACACAATTCCCTTTGTTCTTTCTCTAGTAGGCTTGCGGAACATTGCTCTCGTTCACTGGTGGGGTCCCTCCTCCTCCTTGGTTCGGCTCCTGCACTGCCTTTGCCAAGGTGCGGCCTGGGAGCGCCGGGGGGCTCTGGCAGCGTGTCCCCCTCAACTTGAGCTGCAGCGTCCTCGCTCAGTCTGTCCTGGCTTGGCAGATTCGTAGTGAGGGCTGCTTCCAGTAGATAAATGCATTTATCGCGTAAGGATGTGATCACAGAATGGCAAGGGTTGGAAGGGACCTCGGGAGATCATCTAGTCCAACCCCCCTGCTAAAGCAGGTTCTTCTAGAGCATGTTACACAGGACTTCATCCAGGTGGGCTTTGAATATCTCCAGAGAAGGAGACTCCACAGCCCCCCTGGGCAGCCTGTTCCAGTGCTCCGTCACCCTCAGAGGAAAGAAGTTTTTCCTCATATTCAACTGAAACCTCTTATGTCTCAGTTTGTACCCATTGCCCCTTGTCCTGTCGCTGGACACCGCTGCAAAGAGTCTGGCTAGTGTGATGTCTAGGTACTTCCAAAATAAAAATGCAAAGTGGTGGTTGACTCTTACCAAATCTGCTCTGCGCCCTCAGGTCTTGGATTTGGCAGCTGACTGGAATGCGGGACTAGTCAGCAGTCTGCCCTTCGATTTTTATTTTAGATACTGAAAGAGGCTTCTGACTGTGATACGTTCTAACAGTGCATCTTCTATAGGAAGAGCCCCCTTTTCCACACTGAAGGTGGTGCAGCTACAGCCTTCACTGAAGACAGTCAACTTCTCTAACAGGTTTATTAAGAATGTGATTAATGAAAGACAAAAGTCTTTGCTTCCTCTGGGCAAAACCCAGTCCTGAAGCATGTCCAAAGCTGCGTCTAATTTTTGAGAATTTTGTAAAGGTGTACAGAAATACAGAAGTGGATCACTTGCGTTATACTTTCTGCAATAGATGAGCCTAAATTTTTAAAGGTAAAGATTATGTCTGTGTTTATAGTACCTTGTAGACTGAGTGCTGGCTCTGACACTGGCCGTTGACTGTTACAGTAGTGTTGTCAGATACAGAAATAAAGCTCCTCAGCCCCAGGGCG